GTGATATTAGTGAAAAGTATAAAAATATAAATGCTTGGTTTTTTTTTTTTTTATAATATCTTTGTTAGTCAATCATAAACATTTGCATACACAAAGCTAGATATTTGTTTGCTTTCGTTTGTAGACCCCGCATTTGTTTATTTATATTTTTTTTAGCATAGCCGCGTCACATTTCACTTTTCTAGAAAGCAACAACAAATGCCCCTTATGGAAACTCGTATGAATGAATTTCAAATTTCCAAAAGCAGCTCATTCTCTCTCTGTCACTCTCTCTCTCTCTCGCTCTCTAAGATATCCGTCTCCATGTGAGTTGCAACTGGTTTTCAATATGGGTTAATGCCACGGCTTTGCCCCGTTTCGACTTAATGAACTCATTTTCAATGCCTTATCATATTTATGCCCCTACACCTCCGTATATACGATATACATCTTTATGGCTCTTTCTCTCTCACACTCTTTCTATTTGCATTTCTTTTGTTCGTATATTTGATTTCGTTTATGTAAATCTACGCTCAGTTATTTTCCTCTCCCCTGCTCGGCGGCTCAGTAAAAGTTTTAATTCAAATCTTTTGCGGCTGTATTTTCGGTATTTTCGGTATTTTCGGTTCTACAATACTATATTCTGAGTTCCATTTCAATCTGGTCTGAATGCCACAAGCCGCAGTCTGCAGTCATTAGCCCAATTTTAGACAGTCCGCAGCGGCATAAAAATAATACACACATAAAACCCATTAAACCGCACAAATGCTCAAATGATGCGAAAAGTTACGTCGCAACGCCCCGAAAACAATTTTTTATTATTATTTTTTTTTTTGGCAGACATTCAAATAACACTTGGAGCACAGAGGCAACAATCAGCGACGCTCGGCACCGAGTTGAGAATTAAAAGACAATTCTGAACTATTTATTGATCATATTTATAGCCAAAGTGGCGCATTAAATCAAATATAATTTTATTTGTATAAGAAATTCTTATGATAATTGGTAAAATAAATTTTAATAGCCTGTTTGCAAAATAAATTAACATTTGTTAGGATTCCCACTCAAACTCTAGTCAATCAATATGGAAATGGAAATGAAAATAAATGTTAATAATTTGCTGATTGTCCCAAATACATAGAAAATATTCCCAAACGGAAAAATTTTGTTTACAAACAAAACTTAGATCTATCTATTTATAGAATACTAAAATAAATTAAATAAACTTGAGTAAAATATTAGTTGTACTCTTAATATATTTACTCAAATGAATTCGTTACCCAAATATCAGAAATGTTTAATATGCATTATTTATTTATATGTATATTAGTATACATTAGTATTGTTAGCAACCATAAAACATGTCAAAAACAATACCATTCAATATTCATAGTTTCATGCATATTAATACAACTCTAAACAGGATATCTAATAGTCGTTCATTATTACATAACACATTCCCTTAATGAACTCTTGTTTGTTTTTATCTGAACAGCAACACCTTAAATGGTTACAGCTATTAATAAATAATTAAGCGTTTTGTGGCAATTTCATTGAAATTAGCATAGATTTTCAGCGCCAGACCTTGTTCATAAATCTCGAAATTGGGCACCTAAATAAAAGTGTATTTATAAGTGTATTTATATGTACATATATACATACATATATACTGGTCACAGTGATGTCGTAAAATTGCGCCACTTCTCGAATTTTGTGGCGTGTGATTTGCATCGTTGCCACAAATGGACAGCAGGAGGGCAAAACAAACACACAAACATACAGAATACAAACACACAATCATTGCATACACGCAATCGCACACACACACACACACACACACACACACACACACACACACACACACACACACACAC